TCAACCTCTGCTGTTCATCAAGATGGCGAGGAGTCCGAGGAGACAGACAGGCTAGATACTTATAGAGTTTCATTGAAAAGTGGTGATAACGATAAATATGATTTTGAACCAACAAAATTTGTCGAACATACATGATCTCGTTATCTTATTCAGCGATGCAGTGTGTCTTCCATGACTTATTGTAATATTTTCTGTTGTTTCACGCACTTTCTTTCTTTTCTATTACACCATGATGTAGACACCTAGATCTAGTACACATTCTGCTGAAAAGGATGAAGATAGTTGAAGAATGCGAGTTCTTAGAATGAAAATAATTTGAACTACACTTTGCTTGTAAACATGGGAAGAAATGATCTGTGTACAATAATTGTAGAACCGGATAGAAATCAGCCTGGTGATCAGAAGATGGCAGTCTACAAATTTCCTAAAGACGTTGAGAAAGCAAAGCCTTGGTGGCGAGTTTGCCTAATAAATTGAAATTAGAGGATGTCACTGATTTTATAGAGCTATTCTGTATCTTCAGCCGTGCAGTCTCGGCATTGAGAAGAATAGGACTGACGTGGTGCTAGAATGTCATACGAGGCGACTAAATGGCGAACCAGGTAGTGACTCCTGAAACAGAGTCATCCTACCTTCAGGTCGGGGGTTGAGTCACGAGGCTAACAACCCCTCTCGTAAAAAGAACCTGTTACAGAAACACATACAAGCAAAAACCATTATCCCTGCTTGGCTGATCGTGGATCTTCTCCGAATGGAGAGTTTATGATGCAAGGCAGTGAAAGCCGAAAAGGAAGCTGCTGGGCAAAAGCCTCCACCATCATCCAAGTCCAAGTCTCTTCGGATCGGCTCGTGGAGGCCACGGGAAACATGGAGGTGATGTGTGGAAAGGGACATGAGAGAGATGAAGCTCACTTGGAACGAGCTTGGAAGGATGGCTCAGGACAGAAATAAATGGAAGGAGCTTGTACATGTATGTGACCTCTACCCTGCCAGGGGTGAAAGGCATTGATGATGATTCTGTATCTTGCATTGGCCTGAAAATGCACAAAATAGAACATGATACAACCTGGAAGAGGCACTCGTCTAGCAGTACCTCCAACACTTTTCCAAGTGCCGAAATCGTATGTTAATTGTGCTTCCCGAGGTATATATA